TCGTAATAACCTCATATTATTAATACTTTTGCAGAAAAGTTACCGCCAAAGCAAATTGAGCTACAAATATCATACTATTATACATTTTTTCACTTGCAGTAAATAATAAGAGCCAAACATTTCAACAAAAAAATGATTTGTACTGTGTGAAAGTTTGCGTTCAGTTACAGGAAATTATTTCCATCATGCATTGTGTTTCTGTGATGTCAATTAACGTTTTGATGTGGTTTTCCCCTAATGAGAGAAAATTTGAACATTCAGTTCTCAATCTATAATATTGTAATTTCTATTTTTTTTTCAGGACAAAGACAATGATACACTAAAGGAAATTCTGAAATCTAATATTGAGAAACCAGTGCGGATGTTAGTGTATAGTAGTAAGAGTCTGCAAACAAGGGAGGTGTCGCTGACGCCCAGTAATTCGTGGGGCGGTCAGGGACTGCTGGGTGTTAGTATACGATTCTGTTCTTTTGAAGGCGCTAACGAAAATGTTTGGCATGTTCTGGTAAGTACCCTGAACTTTGAGCCAAATGTTCTTTAAAATGAACCTTGTCACACATCATAAGTGATAATGTCCTATATTGTATTGGCTATCACACAAGCTAACATTTCCTGTGCATGGTTGGCAAGATCCGGTTGTTCTCACCCAAAAATTGTGTTGTTCACTTATGTTATTGAATATTCATGTGCATGGCCTTATTAATAAAACAACTTTGGGCAAACTGGTTGCAGCATATTGCGAGGTCGTACTGATCAGTTAGTGACAATGGTTTCCAACATTATAGCTAAAATAGTTTTTTGAACTTAAATGACATTGTTTGCGTTTCTAAAAAAAAATCTTCCTGACAGTGATACTCCCCTCCAGAAAGTACCTTAATGTTGTGTGACCTTTGAACTCTCAATCATAAAGTTTATATTGCTTTGTAGATGTTTGATTTAAATCTGAGGTAGAAAATTGATGATGGCATTTAAAAAGATTGTCTCAGCCTTTTTCCCCTCCCTAAATTAAAATGACATGTTTTAGTATACCTGTGACATTTCTCCTCTGACACAATGTCACAAAAAATTTCACAAAAGTTGATAGTTTTCCCCCAAAGAAGCGTTACTGAACTCATAGCTATATTATTTATATGAAGTGTTCTCCCTCGCAAATTAACACAAAGCGTGGGAAAAGTAAAAAGCGAGTCTTGTAATCCACCAGAGAATATCTATCGTGTTTCCCAATCCATGTTGTCCCCAAAGTCCCCAAATGAAGTGCCAATACTTTTTCATGATATGCATGTATTAAGATTTCTCACCAATGCGTGATTCAACTTGCTTTACCTACCTAGGATTGCCAAACGAACTCGCCCGCAGACTACGCTGGTCTTAGATCTAATACAGATTATATAATTGGTGCAGATTCCGTATTACACGAGGTGAGTAGAACAACGCAGTACTAGTCTTTCTAATCAAACAGTAGACTGATTTCATTATGTCTCCTTGGAACATCCTGTTGAAAATCTTTCCTCTTTATAGTGCCCTCTAGTGGCAAGATGATGCAGGGGGAGGCTGTGGTCATTTTTAATATATGCCCGCTGGTGCTGGTGTGCATGCCCTAACTACATCTGACCAGGTACATACATGTATGCAAATCATGTTCAAGACTTGTAGATTCAGCAACAAATCATAACCTATGTTACAGTTCAGTTTCTAGTATGATATACAGTACAGTTCTCGCGGAAGCTTTGGCTTTTGTGGCATCATTGTCGCCTACGCATGGCTTCATTGTCGCCTCAGCATCGCATCATTGTGGCATCAGCTTCGCGTCATTGAAAATTGAAGCTGTGTTCGCCTCGCTATTTTGTGGCATCATCGTGGCCTCAGCTTCGCAGTCTCATGGCATCAACATGGCATCAGCTTCGAAGTATTGTGACATGAGTATGACCTCATTATTTGCACGCAGAAGGGCAGTAGACAAAAACATGTACAGAAGTTCGATATGTAATCGATTTGAAATTCAAGGCGAATAAAATAATATAATCAAGAGTAAAATGACATTTTAAAAAGATATCTTGTTTAATTATTTTAGTGTTGCGAGTATTGAGCACCAAAAACTTTGCGAAGTACATTACAATCGGCAAGGTGACGAGTTTCATATTGACTGGAAGGAAAATCGT